ACGGTGTGCATGGGCTCCATATTATATTTGATACCGTTCAAAGTTTTCTGAGTATTGGCGCAGCTTCTATTCGAAGCACTCACCATTTTGTTCTTTTTGAATCCATCACTTCTTCGTTGAAGATCAGCCGCATAGAATCTTGCACGGTGTTGAGATGTTCCTGTCCCTTGTTATGAGATATGGTGGAGGACCACGTGTGATCACGAGACACTTCTCTTCACGGCTAAGTCTTGAATTTTTGGAACTTGTCTAAAACGCCAGGAGAGGTCCTTTGGGCAGATGTTTGGAACTCTGTGCTAGGGTGCTGACTTCCATTTCATAATCTTCTTCCTCATGATTTTTGCCTTTGTGTGCCTGGTGAAATGTTTTGTTTAACTTCAACTCTTCCAACTTTCATGGAGAACTTCGAAGATGTTCCTTCATACGGACACAAAGTAGTTTAGAATAAGTACACCGTACTCATTCAATGTTGTCCCTACCGTCGTGCAAATTGTGCAATTATGCGCTTCGTATTGACGGTCGTGCAAACGATTATGGAGAAGTTGGCTGCATTGAATATTCCAGATACTTTTATACAACATTTCAGCTGAAATGTAAATCTTTATTTCTTGTTAAGAAAATATAAGTTCTCATTTTATTGAAGTGAAATTCTGATTCACTGAGGGTGGCGAAGCTCATACCGAATGACAAGACTTTCCAAATTTTGCGACGGCTGATATCGCATTGAAGAGTTTGGCAGTCTAAGGCTTGATTTTGATTTTTGCATCCTGACAACAACTTCAAACCTTTCATTAGAGGTTTTATAGTACTTATAAAATGCTATATACGTGTTCCGGCCTTCTAGTCTTGTCACTAGCACGGTGCCTTTCGTTTCAATCTGTTCCTTGGGACATACCCCTAAATACAGGGATCGACTCAGACCTGTCTACACTCAACGGACTGTGAAAGGATCACCGTGATATTCTTCCAGAGTGATTGAATGTCGATTTCATGGCTTACGGCAGTTACGAAGCATATGCAACAATACTCTTCAATCAACCATTTTGAGCTTCCCTTAAAATTGTGATTTTTTATTTTGTCGATTCTGTGGACGATTAGCACGAACCATCGCGGCAGTAAAAATATTAAGTTGTCTAAACGTTGACTGGATAAAGGGTGTACAGAAATCTTGTGTCAGTTTACAAGTGGAACAAAATCTAAGTATAGTCTTCAATTTTTTCTGTGAAATTCAGTCCTAAGCAATTTTCAAAATCACTAAATAATTCATAGGGATTATGTTCACCTTGCATCATTGGTGTATCAATAAATCATTGGGCGTTATCAAAAAGTCGTCATAATATGCCATCAATGCCGTAGTTGTATTATTAAGATCGAATATTTAGGAAATAATGAAAAGCATGACCAACATCACCCACTCACTACAAACGACTAGAGTTGGACTTGGCAACATACGTCAATCAGACGCATGAGACCACTGAGCTTATTGGCAGCAGGCTTAGCTATTGATCTCACATGCCCATAAATATGCCTGACAATCTTTCCTCTGCAGTTTTTGGAATTAAGAAATACTTTATCACTGTTTTTTGTTCAATTCTTGTCCTCACTTTTTTTCACCGCAAAAGTTGAATTTCTAAGTCTATGAGAAACTACATAGAATCATTAATCGTGTAAAAAGTATGGTTACAAAATTTGTTAACAATCTCAACTTTTTCATTGAATATCTTTCCAATGCTTCAATACAACACTGGCAAAAATTTCACCAAACGACAAATGCAAATATTCAAGTTCCGTTTTTTTCATATAGGGAATATCTCCCGCGCGACTGGACCGAAAGGCGCCGTGCAACTGACGAAGCTGTAAAGCCGAAACCTGAGTCTCGCACTGTGTAAGTGTCAGAACATGCCCTATGAAGGGCTCAAAATATGCTATCAGATTGCATCAATTCAATGAAATGACTTTAGAGCTGTCATGGGAAATAATTCGTCGTTATGACGATTTGTGCGTCCATGGGAGAGTTGCTGAGACATTTTCCAGCTAGCGACAATTCTTTATATAATAAGGGCCACTGTAAAAATTTATGGAGTTAAAAGTTTCTTTAAGGGACTAGTCTCTCTGAAGCTTTGATGTTAATTTTAATTAAAATGTCAAAGATGTCCAAATTATATGAAGCAGAGAAATTTTGGAAACCTTGTCAACAGTCGCAAACGAGACTTTGAGGTTCAGCGTGCGATTAAAATGTAATAACAGGTAAAAGAGAAAGCAGTGCGAGGGAAATCTTTTCGAAGAGATAAAGTCGTTATCGATATAAGGGAAAAAGCAAGGGATTACGGTAGTCCGGAGGATCGCGTGGGGACAAGTCGTCGCTGGCAATGATCCTATAATCGGTTTTGGGTGACCACCTGTCCACCGTTTTAGTGTCCAAATGACCGAGACCGATATTTGAACAACCTATCAAAACGCCTCTCATATGCAGCGACTAGATGCTGTAAAACAGCCCCGATCATGTGAATTTGCTCGAAGAACTACTGCTAAACGAGAAGAATTCTCAGAAAGCTTAAAGGAGATATTGCGACAATTAAAAAAATTGTCTTTTGATGACTGGAAATCGTTAATGTGTATTCACTAAAAGAGATTATGATTTAAGAGGATTACTAAACCTTGACGTAAAAAGCTTTCATCGTGAACGGTGGAAGAACGCTAGTACATTTTTGACATGCCCTCGAGATACATCATGTAACAATATTAAACCGACTTTTCGTCAATTTTACTGTTGTTCAAACGTTACTATGCTCTGAAGGAGCCACGAGGTTCTCGAGAACAATTTTTTGTCCACTCAGCATGCTACAAATAAGTTTTATTTTGTTTTGGCCAACATTTCGGCTGTTCCGCATTTTTTTTGAGTTTGTGAAGAAAGTGAGTGCCTTATTCCGTTTCCATGATATGTATCCACAATGTCAGATAAATAATCCAAGATATTTTTACACACAGACAATAAAAAATAGTGGTAAATAGCCTTATAATATTTTCACGGGCTCTTTATCAAGCATCTCAGAGGTTTACCATGGCATCTTGATGAGATACGTACGTTTCGACGGTTCCGCCCGTCTCGCGGTATAGCACGTCCCATGCTAGGAATGAAGGTAATATTTAATGATTTCGGGACCACCAGTTGTAATAGCCACACGCGGTGCAAATCGCAGCTCCGATGCGCGACACTTGATATTTGATCAGGGCTTTTTATCATTTTGCAGGAAAGCTTGGTGTTTCTAGTGATAGTTCGATAGTTCAAGATTTTCTCTACACAATCGTAGGCTTTGAGTGCAAATATAATGTTTATTTTTGGAAAAAAAACTTTCTTTTACGACAAAATTGCAGTGATATTGGCATCTGTCAATCGTAATAAGTTGTACAAAGAATATAATGACATAAGTCGATTAGTTCTGTTACATTTTATCATAAACAACACTTAAGAGTCATAATGGTGACTGCGAGTTTGAAAACAATGAGCAGTGTGTCAAAAGAAGGTGGTGCACAATGCGTGCGATTGCCCCGGTTACCGATAATGCTTACCATAACTAAGTTCTTATAGCAGGAATTCGTTCACTTCTAATAATTTATTTAATGATGCACACGAGGAAGATGGAAATTTTGGGTTACAGAAAGTTTTTGTACATAAAGAGTTTTCCGTTCAGGAGAACTAGTAAGTATAGCAGGCCACCCATTTTATTATTGTTTCAACAAATCGAAGTTTTATTTTATAGCCTAGGTGTTGAGATCTATTCTTTCCTAACAATCAGAACCTGATACTTCGTCAATGCGCTGGATTGGCAGCTTTATCAAGTTCACAAAATTTGATGATTTCACATTAGCTACGAGCTGTACTAGCCATTGCCTATTCTGAGCCATGTAATTGTACCGCGTATAATTATGTCTATTTTCTAGGTTACTGCGAGAAATTAGATCCGTATGTAACAAGAATTTTGTAAATGTTATAAATGCAAAGAATATTATCTTTTATGGAAGATATTGTACATCTGCTAGTTGTTGATATTGTGAGAGTGGTCATTCTTGAATAATTACTTTGAATAGAAGGTCTTCTACACTGGTGAGACTAGAAATCCTACACACTGCCTTCAAAGACGTGCTGCAAACTTTTGCCATTTGTGTAGATCAAGCACAATCACGTAGGCTAAAGCCATAGCGCTTGTGCGCGAAGTTGAGAATATGCAATTTTATGATTTCATTGACTACTCTGTAGCATTCTCGCTAACTAACTGTCACATCGTTATCGTTTTGGTAGTTTGACTGCTTATGAGGATTCGCTTCTCTTCTTCCTATTACTATTGGTGTGTGTTGATTACTCCATTACAACTGCAACTTGCTATGTTGTTTGCCACTATGCGAGAGCCTAGCTTTCAGCGCCGTCATGACAAGAGAAAAATACGGGGATGCCTTAAGAGAAGAAGACTGGGGAGTTATTAAAGATAAAGAATTGGAAACCATGTTCCAAGGCTTGGCTGTAAGTGTTGACGAGTACACTGGTAACGATTCAGACGCGAGCATGGACAAAAATGTGTACACTTACAAGGTTCTGAGCATGACGATGACGGAACTGACGATGCACGAAGAGCTCCTCTGAATGCTGACGGTGTAGCTGGTGGTTGGACCACTAATGTGCAGCCACCCACCGTCCCGCTCTGTGATAACCCAGCGGCAGGTGTCCAACACAGTATTACTACCGACTGCAGGCAACTAGCTCATTTCTACGAACTGCTTGCTCATGACCGATCCTTGTGAGTTAATTGCAAAGCAGTCAAATATATATGGAACTCAGACGAACAACGATCGAGCCTCGAAATCTAGTGTTTTTACTGCTTCTTCCGCAGTGTTATGATGTCTTATATAAGCCTAAGAGAACTGAATGAATAGTGAGGGAAAATACGACTTCAGACGGAAGTCGAACCCGCCTTTGATCCAACGAACGAGTGGAGTGCGAATGTGCATCGGTGGTGTAATGGTAGCACACGTCCCTGCTATGAATGAAACGCGGTTCGACTCCCGCCTGAAGTTGTATTTTTGCTCATCACTCAATTCTGTTAGGCTTATATGAAACGTCATAACACTGTGGAGAAAGCAGTAAAAGCACTAGATTTCAAGAGTATTACATATCACATTGCTGTCAGCTTAACTGCGTTTATGAAGCGAATTCGCATACCGGACTAACCTGTAAAGGGTTAGTGGCTGATAGCTATCATAGAGATGTTGAAGAACGAGTGGTGGTGCGAATGTACCTCAGTGGTGCAGTGGTAGCCCGCGCCTCCGGTATGGATGAAGTGCGGGTTCGACTCCCGTCTAAGGTCGTACTTTTGCTCACCACTCAATTCTCTCACGCTTATATTGTAACTGTCTCTTAATTTTAAAACAGCTAATTACACGAGCCACAATTACGTACTAGCATTTGGTAGATGATTTAAGTAGATACAAGTCATTTCAGTCCAACTTACTTATTAGACCTTAGTTGTCAACACAACTTTACCGATCATATTTCCAAATCATTGAGATCAGGGAAGTGAGTCAAAATAAGTGCATTTTCTGTGAACCATGATGGAAGCCCTCTTCTGTATGGCACCTTCTTCATGCCGTTTTTCCTCAGAGGGCTTAGATGAAGAAAGATATCGTATGTGCAACTGAAATCCGTACATTGTCTTTTTTAGCATCGCATCAGGGAATCCTTCCGACTGTTTCTCCAGTTATCCGCAATGCTACCCTTCTTCGGTTTCGTCGAGCTCACCAAGCATCCTCTCATATTTCAATGATATTCTTTGAAAAGATGACGATGCCGTCGGCAAATCGAGTGTTTTCAGGGACTTATAATCAAAGCGTGCACAACGTTACCAATATGGTCATGTGCATGGTAAACGATCCATTGATGGTGTAGATACGATACCAAACAGGTAATTTTTCTGTATAAATAAGAATTAACATATTCAGCAATAAAATTTTAAAGATCTGGATTGTCGTCTGATGATTGCTGAAAGTCTGTCGAAAAGCATCCATTGATTGGCGAGCAAATGAAGGAGAATAATCTTACATAAAATGTTATCACCACTGCTACAGCACTCTAAAAAAGCCCATTTCTAGAAACTAAGCATAGTGGGCCTTGAATCATTACCAAAAGGTTAGGCGAAATGCTTCGTCTAGCGTAAAAAGGCCTCTAAGAATTTATGCATTTCTGGGCCTCCAGATGGGAGCGATAAATGAAGTTTACCAAGATTCGGAGACAGAAAAGCAGTACCATCAGCAAGAATTGTAGTTAAAAGAATGGCCCAAACGCTCACTGTGATTTGTCATCTATAGTAACAAAGATAGGGGAGCGTGTATCACTGTAGTCAGAACTGTCGACGCTCCGATAAATGGATAATCACCTGTATCACCTGTCGTCCCGCAAATCGTCGAGTGACTTGAGCGGTTACCAGCAACTCTTCCGTTATTCCCTGTCACGTGCAAGAGTAGCTCAGTGGGTGATCATCTTTCTAGGGATTCACTGAGAATCATATCTTACTTCTATCGCTTTCGTGGAGAAATCGGACCAACGGGTCGGTGATCTTCCTTTAGAGCGCTTGACGTCCCTAGGGATCCAGTCGGTAAAGGCTCTCGTCCATCGGTTGTCGTTGAAGCGCATCACGTGTGCGGCTCACCTTATTTTCGTTATCCTGGCGTGTGGAACAGCGTCTCTGATTTTCGATCGTGCACGTAGGTCGGAACTTTGAATCTCTTCTCTCATTTGCGAGATACGGGATACTCCTAGCATCGACCTTTCAACTGCGCGTTCGATAACTCCAAGTGATCTTTCATCCTGCTTACGTAGCGACCAGGTTTCTGCTGCGTACGTTAGGGCAGAGATAATTGTCGAATCGAAAAGGAGGGCACGGAGTCGAATGTTCTTTATCCTCTTCACTACATCTTCGATGCTTCTAAACGTTCCCCAAGCCGCTCGTTTCCTCCTGCTCAACTCTGGAGCTGGGTCGTTCATCATGTTGATTTCGCGACCTAGATGGACCTAAATAAAGCATTCGGAGATTTTCGTTCCGCTGAGCGTAAATAGGGCATTCAAAACCCATACGTTCCTCATGAATATCGTTTAAATTTGGTTGATTACCTATTTTTCCACCGGAGTTATCGAAATATTGTCGACCGTCAATTTTCACTCCCATTTCGTCACATTCTAATGTTCGCATGACGTTTTGTAGGGTGACAGTGAACAGTTATGGCAAAATTGTATCGCATTGTCGAACCCCTCTTCTTACGTCAATAGTGATATTGTTATAGAATGAAGATATTTTGGTCATAAAATCTTTATAAAGCTCACGAAGGATCATTATGTACCGAGTAGGGACGCCCTGGTTATCCAGAGCCTCTGTAGCCGCTTCTGTTTCCACTGAATCAAAGGCTTTCTTCAGAACGATGAAAGTGAGACAGAGTGGTTGTTTGTACTCTCGTGAAGCTTCGATGAGTCTTGTAATCGTGTGGATGTGGTCCATGGTACTAAATCCTTTTGGAACCCTGCTTGTTCGCATGGCTGTCCTTCGTCCAGTGTTCTGTCAATCCTGTTTATGATGACTCGAGTAAAGAGTTTATAGACAACGGACAGTAAGCAGATTGGGCGATAATTGCTATGTCGTGAAGGTGCCCCTTTCTGAACAACGATACGGTCGAGCTGGTTTCCCATTGAATAGAGACCTTGCATTCTGACAGGTAGCGAGTAAAGAGCTGAGCCATTGTGTTTATGAGCACTGGCGGTAGGTTCTTCATGTGTTCTGGTCTAATCTCGCCTGAACCGGATGTTGTTCTGTTCCTCACCGGCGTTACAGTATGTCGGATTTCGGAAGGGAAAACCGGTGGAGCGACATATTCGTCCCTCTTTCAATTTATATGAGAATAAGAGGACATGGCTAGCAAAGAGATCCGAGTAGTATTGGTGGATGATTTTCTCCTTAGTCCTTCTCGAAGGTGTAAGCGTCCCGTCAGGGTATTGGAGTGCAATCATTTTGGTCTTATAGTTGGCAATGCCTTTCTGGGCTTTGCGAATGCTCTTCCCAGCTTTTGCAGATTCTGCCATAACTGCTGCTCTTCTCTCTTTGAGGTCTTCTTTTATCGCTTCTCTGCAGCGTTTCGCAAGTTCGGACGTAAGGTTTCGGTTGCCTGTAGCTTTCGCGATTCCACGTTGACGTATCAGCTAGAGTATCTGCAGAAACAAAGGTCTCTTCGTGGCCTTAGGACTCTCGGCTTTCATAGGGCTAACGTGAAGATATTCAACGAGTTGATAGTATTCTTCGTCGATGTTGTTGACAACGGTATCTTTCCAAGAGGCGACTAATGATTTGAATACATCCCTGTTTATGGTAGCTCTGGGACTTCGTTGTTTGAATTTAGCAGCTTTCTCTCCTCTCCTCGGAAAACGAACGTGGGCGCGAAGGAGGCGAGGTTTGATCCCTTGTGGAACTTAGGAATAACAGCTACATCGGTCAGGCAAAACCTTCGATTTACTAAGATGTGGTCTATTTCGTTATGGTACTCTCCATTGGGAGACTCCCACGTCCATCGCTTAGAAAGATGCTTTTGGAATTGCGAGTTATCACGGATTGTTTGAGTCGTCATGATAAACTCCGACAGCCTCTCACCCTGTTCATTCCATTCTAGTCCGTGAGTCCACATGTGACGTTCTTCAGACGTTGTTCTAGGTCCAGTTTTTGCGTTAAAATCTCCGAAAATGTCCTTGAAGATAGAATGATCTTCTCTGAAGAATTTTTCGAGGTCCATATAGAACGCTTCGATTTCGTCTTCGTCATAGCTTGATGTTGGTGCGTAAACAACGAAGATGGTTAAAGCCGGCATAGAGCCACATCGTTTCAACAGCAATCGCCCGATACGGGTTGTGAGTTGCTCAAACGAATCGATGTTTATGGTCAAATTAGCTTTGACGACGACGCCAACTCCGCCAACCCTCTGCTATCGCATGTTCCGAGGAACAGATATTCTTTGGTGTAATCAACAACGTGAAAAGGATGGCGCCTTCACGTCTTAGCCAGGTCAATGACGTTGTACCTTATCCTTCTTGCTTGAATGAATTGTTCTTCTACTGCTCTTTCGTGAGCAACTGTTCGTGCATCATAGGTGCAGTCGTTATTTTAGGCGGTTTCGATTTTGGCAACCCAATTCGTTTCTGACATTTTAGCAACCTCTCCGCACTCGTCCTCCTGGCGCTACGGTACCAGGGGCTCTTCAGGGTCAGGGAATTGAGGTCCATATTTGTAAATGTTTTTGGCGTTTTAGTACCCAACGTATAGCTTGCCAGGCTCTACACGTGGCAGCTTGGTACTCTTGAGTAGCTTGCAAGTCTCTCTCGGAGGAGCGGGAGGAGATTATTTGTTGGAGGCGAGTTCTAACCGCCTCCATGTACTTCTCAGCCGGTTGATGGCAGGCGGTACGCCTATTTGACTCGTTAAATCAGAGTTTTTGTTAAGTCGGCACTGCAGAGGCAGGAAGCTTGCCCCTGAATCCACCTGCGTCTCCAGGAAGCACACGGTTGCTTTTGGTTCGCGTTTATTCCCCTATCCACCACCTGAGGACGCGCCACGTGCCCTCGCGACTATCCGAGCGGGATCTCTCAAAGATGGAGATTCGTGGAAACGGATAATAACAAGTTAAAAGGAGCGCTGCGGGATCCTTTTGACTTGTTATATCCGTTTGCCGCACTCTCCGTTGTCTCTCACACCCCGCTTTCGACAATTTTGTGCCGGAATAGGAATATAGTAGCAGTACCAAAAATTCGATTTCTCAAAAAACCAACCATCTATTTGAATGGAAAGGTTATTACGTCAGTGTCGTTTAAGATTTTGCCCCTTTTCTTGGTTCGATCTTCTTATTTGGTATGGAGGATAGGTTGGAGGACGGTATAAATAGACACTGTTAATTTACCAAATCATTGGACCAGGTTAACGTCCACCAACTGAAGAAGCCGAAGTCGTTAAATCCTCGGCCACGGAATTCCTGCTTCTACGACTGTGCTACTACAACTCCAACGAGACACGTCGGTTGAACAAGTTTAGCTCTTAAGGCCTACATATATTAGTGATTTGATATATCAGTGCACAATCTAGAGTGAGCTTTGGTCGAGTAGTCGTGATGTTGATCACGGAGCACATGGAGCCGAGCTCCACTTCCCACTTCTCTCCGGCCGTCAGCAACAGCGTCCTATGGAACGCCACAGCAAGACTTTCGTCGAGATTACAAGGAGACTCGCTCTCCCACTATTCTAAGTTGTTAAAGAAAAAAGACAAAAAAGTTAATTGATTGCCAG